GGGACAGAGAGATGGGGAGGGGGGGAGAAAGAGGGGGGGACAGAGAGATGGGGAGGGGGGGACATAGAGATGGGGAAGGGGGAGAAAGGGGGGCAATAAAGAGATGGGGAGAAAGAGAGGGAAGAATGAGACACGGGGAGAAAGAGGGGGAATAGAGGGAGGGGGAGAAAGAGACAGAGAGGGAAGAATGAGACACGGGGAGAAAGAGGAGGAATAGAGAGTTTGGGGAGGGGGGAGAAAGAGAGGGAAGAATGCCCCCCCTCCCCTGTCCGCAGGCACCGTGCGGGCAGGGGAGGAAGAGAGGACCTGGGAGCTCACCCTGCAGCTCCTCTGGGTCCTTCTTGCGCGAGCACAGAGCGTTGCCGCGGTTACCATGGCAACGTTACTGCTCTTGCGAGAGTCAACTCTAGCCCTGGAGCTACGGGCTAGAGTTCACTCTCAATACTGTAACCCCCATGGATTCCTGGTGGTCGCAGTGGTGAGAGTGAACTCAAGCCCCATAAACACACTGCCCCCAAACACACACCATACACATTCACACACTGCCCCCATACACACCATACACATTTACACACATTGCCTCACACACACACATACACTGCCCACCCATATACACACAGACCCCCATACACAGCCCCCCATACTAACATTGCCACACACATACACTGCCCACACACCCTACACATTCACACACTACACCCCCACACACACACTGAACCTTTCACACACATTGCACCACTGCTCCTATTCCCTACTACAGCCTCATATCCCAGCAGACCCCAGGTAAGTTGTCAAACTGTTCTTAAACGGTTTGACTACTTACTCTGGAGCAGTAGTGGTTATTGTGCATGGATTATTTCTTTAAATAATCTACAAGTGCCCCAGTAGCCAGCCAGCCAACCCACAGGCTGGCCAGTAGCCAGCCAGTTAGCCAGCCCACAGGCCAGTAGCCAGCCCACAGGCCTACAGCAAGCCACAGGCTTACAGCCAGCAAGCCACAGCCTGCCAGCCGCAGTCAGCAAGCCCACAGCCTGCCGGCAGTAGCCAGCAAGCCCACAGCCTGCCAGCCGCAGCCAGCAAGCCCACAGACTGCCAGCCAGCAACAGTAATTAAGGTAAGAGGAGCCAACTTGGCTTAGGTATCAGCGAGCTATGTTGTGTTGCTATATTGTGAATAGGAACCAGAGTGTTGGAGAGACCACCCTCCAGGCCCCATTAGACTCTAGCCTCTGCTAGAAATCCCCTCCATGGCCCATTAGCCCTCAATTGTAGTTTCTACTGGGGCCTGGAGGCGACTGTTTCCAGCAGGGGATATCTAATGGACGCTGAGATGGCCTCTGTTAGAAAGACCCCCTTCCAAGCCTTTTAGACTCCATTGTAGTCTCTAATGGGGCTTGGAGGGGATTCTATCTAACACACTCTCTAAAGGACACTGAGATAGCCTCCGCTAGAAAGACCCCCCTCCATGGCCCATTAGCCCTCAATTGTAGTCTCTGCTGGGGCCTCGAAGGGCTTATTGCCCTTTTGTTCCTTGTGTCTAAAGATTGTGTAGGGTGTGGCTGGAGGCGGTGCATGGAGGCGGGACAAGGGTGGCGCTTGCTGCAGAGTATGGGTGGGGCCTGTAAGGGGGCCCTTGATTTATTTTGCCCGGGGGCCCTGAGGGTTCTCAGTCCGCCCCTGTATGCAGCATACACAGTCTTTCAAAGTCTTGGAGGAATGCATCTATATCCTCTTTGGTTTCCACATACATTTTAAATGCTTGATAAGGGATTTGTATCTTACCCTCTTGTATCGTGGTCACCGCTGTGTTTCTTTCTGGTGCTTGTGGTCCTCTTTGCCGCATTATAAATTCCTGCACCTCTGTCATCGTTTTGGAGATAATTTCCATCGGTGGGATTTCCCCCATAAAATGACAAACTAAAATGGAGCTGTCTTTGGAACTCTTCCTGCTCTGTTTGGTCTCTTGCCTCTCTCTGTTCTGTACTCTACCATTATTTCCGAAATGAGTGTTGTCTTTGTCTTGTTGCTGGCTGGAATACCTCTTGCTTCCAGAAGGTCTTTCAGTGTGGATCTCTTTAGTGTGGAGTAATCAATCTCCATTAATCCTTGTTCCTTTGTGAGTCTAGATCCCAGCGCTGCCAACCAATGTAGCGGAGAGCTAATATTCCACAAGATATCTCCGCTCAGGATCCCAGTGAGGCTCAGGAACAAGAAGTTATAAATCCATAGGCAGAGTTTCCAGCAGGCAAAACAATACAGCAGTATCCCAAGAGCACTCCCAATAACTGGACGACACACAGTATCAGGAGCAGAACTGAAAGCTTTATTCCAACAGTGGCCTTTTAAAGCATGCTCCCATGCAAGGGAGGGATTTGCAATAATCAAGACAGTAACCAATCACATCACGGTAACCTCCAACAAATCCCCTCCCATCAATATGACTCATAATCCCCTTACACAGTACAGTAATTCCCCACATTCCTAGATGTACCCCTAAACCTAGGGGTACCCCTTTAAGTGTTACATCCCCTGGTAGCTCTGATCTGGGTGAGAAATATATCCAAGAATCACCCAGATCGGACCAGGGGTTCGGGAAATTTATGGAAATGAAGAAAAGACCGACCGCGCTGGATAGAATAGCCAAATCCAGTTCCAGGTGATGGGGCCTTGTGGGCGGTCACTGTATAAGGGAATAAAAGACATGAATTTCTCAAGTTAGAGAGATCAGGGATGGTTCGCTTGAATCCCCTCGTTCGGTTGTTTCTTACTACTGAACAAGGGCCAATTCAGTAGTTTACAAGTGAATGCACCGTGTGTCTGGAGGATTCGGAAGTTTAAAATGGCCGCCGCCATGTGTTCGTTTCCCAAATGGCGGCCATCCCGAGAACAAAGACATCCTGCACAGCTCGCCAATTACCCTTTCGCAACATTGTTGCAATTGGTAATTGGAGACACACTTTACACTGGGGAGGTCTGGCTGTTCGGTAGTTTCATTCTCCTAATTGCTGAAATGATTCTACCGAACAACCAGACGAATACAGTCTATTTTAAACAAACAATATTACAATTCACACGAATATACCAAACACATGAGTTTTCTAGGACAGTCCTGTGTCCTCCGCTACAATGATGGACTCTAAACATGCACACAATATGAGGAATATGGAGGATTTGGACAACAGGGGCCATCGGAACAACATACGGGTACTGTCACGATTCGTGGAACCTAACACGCTGACACACACACACACACACAGAAAAGGTGCCATACCGGACCTTAGAGTGGCCGGGCTAAGCATGCTAAGAATAGTCAGGAGACAAGCCAGGTAAAGGGAGCCAGAAAACGGGAGAACGAGAAACAAGCCGAGGTCAAAGGAGTGGAGAAGACAGGAAAATCGAAATAACGAGCCAAGTAATCGGTAACCAGAGAGCAAGACGAGAACACTACGCTACAGGTATCACAAGACCACAACAGGGCACTGAGGGACAGGAAAGGTAAGTATAAATACCCTAGGTTTAATTCTGATTGGATAACTTCCAATCAGAATTAACAATCACACGTGGGGGATATCTATACCCCCCACTGTGATTGTGGTACTGTTTCTTTAACGGGGTCACACACGTGACCCCAGCGTTTACTTAACTCCTGGACCTCCCAGCGTGCAGCGTTATATATGCTGCCGCTGGGGGTCGTGGAGGACGCTGGCGGCGAGCGGCACAGAGGAGACGCCGCTCGCCGA